AGAGAATACACGGTTGTATTGTATGTAACGGCAGGTTCGCCGCTCGCGTTCGGGATGGAATTTTCGCCTCTTTGATACTAGTATCGCGTGATAGGTATTTTATGTCGCGTTTAATCCCGTTTTACAGGAGACTCGAAGACTCGCATCATGAATTCGCGCGTGGCTATGCGTCTGTCTCTTGATTAAACTCCTTGGTGAAAAACACAAATATATTGTCATGAACACATAATACAATTTTAAACATGTCATAAATAGTGAAATTAATTCTGAGACCAATTAGCTGCACTGAAAAACAAGTTACGGGCTACATAGACATACTGTTCGTTCCGGGCTCAGAGACCAAAACTTCCGGGTGCTGGAGCCGTGGCTTCGCTTGATCCGGGTGCTACGCCCGTAACTTACGGTCTCTGAGCCCGGAACGTTGACGGTATTTCTATATAGCCCGTTAGTACAGCTTTCACGGCCGGAGTTTTTTTTTCAGTGTGATAGACCAATGCTGCACTGGAGAGACCCATAAGCAAGTACCTTTTTTTGGCAGCCTCTCTTCTGTCATTCTGCTAACATGACTACATCAGATTAGCTATTCTGGTATAACGTCGAATGTAAAAAAGTGCTTTATCGTTCATATCCGTATCAGAAGTCGATGTATTTTAGTGCTTGATTCTTTCCTAATTGTGTGGTCCATACTGTCCGTAGTGAACCAAAGTTCTCCTGGACGACTCCGTTTCAGCATCAAATCTAGACTGAGAAACAAGATTGTTCGGGTTTCTGAAATTGTCCATTTCAAAAATAAAAAAAATTGAGTTCTATCGCAGTAATGTTGTTTCTAGGATCACGTGCATATCGTGCTCTCATTTTTCTTTTTATTTGGCTCATTTCACATCGAGGAGATGGATACGATTTCTTGTTTGCTTCAAAAAGCGTCCGACTCCTACGTTTTCAAACCCTAGGATTTACAAACACCAGGTTATTTTATTAGGCCTTTTCTCCACTGGTCGTTTAACAGAATTCGTTCAGGGGAAAAATCCCACAAGTTAGTGTCATCCCTGCGAATCAAACTTGAGTCAGATCCCAAGAAAACGTTCCATTTGGAGACATGCCCTACAACACACGAAAATTTTCATACTTTTGGCTATAGACCCTTTTTGGAAAATAAATAGCATGCGTCACTGACGTGGTCTATTCGTTTAAAATTGTTCTAGTTTTCACATTTTTTTCCTTTTTTGAGTTGGACTCTCTTTGAAAGAGGATATCCATTTCTCCAGGACTACCGCTCCTTATCATGAAATCAGGGTCGAGAGCCAAGAAAATTGTTCTTTTGTCAAGAGAGTCGCCTGTCAAAGCCTCCCGCATTCCGTTCGTCATATTATGAGGGTGCTGCTCACCGGGTAGGTTTTTGGCGGAGGATCTGAGCCGACCCACTGTCATCGGTGCTCGTTTTTATTTGTATATTTGTGTATATTGGCCGAATAAAGCACGGCGCAGCGGTGTTCCATAGCAGCGCCAGCGCCCTTTGTAGGTTTGACGCATTTTGCCCAACTCCACTGACGACTGTATCACTCTTCGAGACAGGCTTATTTTCGCCCGAAATTATCCTCGCACAATGCCCTCAACCGAGGTGTGAGTCCCGTTTCAGTTGTCCTAGTCTGTCACCCGCGCCTCCCTTGTTACCGGCGTCGTTGCGATATTGCGGAGGAAATCGATTTTTTCCCGCCATAAAACTGAGACGAGAGTTTGTGTTGTCGAAATTTAACAAATTATAACTTTTTCGGTTTTGAATTTGTTTCAAAAATGAACGAGGTAAAACTGAAATAAAATAAAAATTATATAATTTTCCTAAGTGTTTTTCGATTAAAGAAAACTTTCTCTAATTTTGATAACTGTATTGTTAATACGAGAAAAAGTTCTCATCTAGAAAGACGAGTGTTTTTAATGTTATTTGTCTTTAATGCACACATACGAAGATAATTACCTACATACTAAGAGGTCGTTCACAAGATATGTGACGCTCTCAGGGGGGTGGGCGGGGAAATTGTTATTACATGTCACACGATAGAAATCTACGTCAACGAATCATGACGGGGGGAGTAAAAAATCCGAAATTTAGCGTTACGTATTTTATTAACGGCCCCTTAAATACTCCTCTGATACATGAATGATTATTGATGCTTTAAAGGCAAATACATTTCATGTGCTTGTATTTTGTATATCTTTTGAAACAGTTTACTTGTATTTGCATTAAAAGAAACTTTATTTTGAAAAAAAAATCCTCTAAATGAATTGAATTTCTAATTTAAATCGAAAAACTTCTTTTACAGTAAAAACAGATCTTTGAGCTAGAAAGTACACGTTTTTAATTCATTTCATCCTAATTAAAACATTTTTTGGCAATTTTTTGTATGAATATTGACTACAATCGGAGCACTTTAATTTTCAATTTGCAGCTTGGCACGGAAAATGTGATTTTATACCCCAAAATCGGTCGACCAATCTCACGCACGTGACAACCCCGAATGTTGTGACCCGAGTTTTGGACCATTTTATATAAGTCCCTGTGATCTCATTCAAAATATCACCCTCCATCCCTGTATTTGTGTTGGTATCTCATCTAATACGTTTATCATGCAGCGAAAGAGCGTGTCGTTATTTCACTCAGCCTCTCTCTGCCCCTTCCACACTCAAAAGATACTTCCAGAACTTCAGCGTTCTTTGCCAAAAGCTTGATTGTACAAGCTATAGGGTACGGAGTGAATAGGTTGTTCACTACTTAATTTAGTATAGATATGATTCACAAGGGTCACCTTAGATTCTTCCATTTTAATTAGAAATTGTCGGCAGGTTTTAATCGTATATAGTTCCGATTTCTGACTCTGACTCTAAATATCCTTCATTTGTAATTACCTCAATTTTGCCCTAAAAAACTTAAAAGGCTTTTAGACACCCATGATGAGGATCATATTGCTCCTGAAATATTTACATCGGCAACATTTACAATATATACCAAATATATCGATGAATTAGAAGAGCTCATTTTCTTGAGGCAAACGCTGATTGTTCATAGGCAAAAAAAATCCATGAGAGAATACTTACCTTTAACTCCTGCAGTTAACACATACATATCTTAGAGGCTCTTAACTGCATGATTAGGCTTAGTTTATCTTATTACTGACTTGTTAAATTATTTTTTTATACCGCTGTGGTCGCTCAAGCGGTTGAAAATGCATATTCAGGAATACAGAACAACTGCTTTTTGAAGTAATTTTTGAAATACCTACCGAGATATTATTCTGTGTCTTTATGGCGGTTTGTATTCTTCATACACTGAGACCAATGTCATAATATGAATCGTTACGATTAAGAATATTACCATATACACCGTTCGCAATACTCTGATACTTGAGGTAGGATACCCTGGAGGTGAAAAGTGAATGCTCGATTATCGATCATATTTCTCCATTTGAAGCTACGGTACGAAGAATCGATTATTGAGGTGTCCGTAGCAAACACCCTATTTATCGACCCTTTTCCATAGGTTTAAATGACGGATCAATCAATGTATCGCAAAGCACGCCACACCACTGATACATATTAATTTGTCAGTTCCTTAATTTTAGAGAATACTCAACATAGAAACAATTATGCGAGTAGATTTTTTTACGGACATTACTAGTGCGACGGTTTACACGGACCAACTACCATTCTCAGGAAAAACGCATTATTAACTTTTTATTATTGCCAAATCTCTCCTGAAAAAATACGAATTCTCTTGAGACTCATGAATATGTTTAATTGAATGTGTCGGAGAATTTCATTCGCAGTTTATTCTATTGTAACTGAAAATACCCATAATCTTCTTCACTGATAGAAAATTTTTTCGCGAAAATTTAACAACGTTTGAGCGCCCATACGGCGTTCTTCCTCGGCGGGGCAGTATATCGACGGTGAAACTACCAAACCACGTATCTCGGTTTGCGACGTCGCAGACTTCCTGTCATACTTTATTTTTTAAATGAAAAACTACTTAACGTCTAGTCTTGAAAATTTCTGTGATTTTTCCTCTTTGTGCGGAGAAAATTCTGTGAAAATTTCAAGGAATGATATTGATTTGGTCGACTTCAAAAAAATAAAATGCGAGCGTAGATTTTTAAACACCGCAAACGAGATACGTGGTTTGGTAGTTTCACCGTCGATATACATATTTCTCCATGCCTGTGGAAAGTTTATGAGCCAGAACAGCTGGAAACCGGGGAAACGTTTCCATGTTTCCCTTTCAGATAATGATGAAAATGAGAGAGTTTTATCGTGCAAGTGGAGTCAAAGACAAGCCGCCTGTGACGTGTGCCAAGGTCATTATACCGCCGAGACGATCAAAGACCTGTGACGTGCCCGCTAGTGTAATATGACATACTTTACAGGAGGAAATAAATATTTTAAACTTTGCAGGTACGGAAAACTTGGTGTAGTGCACTAAGACCAGGGCTCTAAGCATTAAAACTTCCGATGCTGTAAGGGGCCGTCCGCATAAATTACGTCACCCATCCAGGAGGGAGGGGGCATCTGGAGGTGAGTAACATGTAGGTGACAAAGGGGGAGGGGGATCAAGCAAAAGTGACGTCACCGTATATAGTGAGAAAATTACTGGACTGCAGACTTTTCCCATGTACTCAACGTTATTTTCAAGTAATTTTAACGGCCAAATCAATGTGTGATACACTAGTAGAAACGGTTTGCTGACCTCACACCTACACAGAAAGGGGGGACCTACACANACACAGAAAGGGTGGGTAAAATGGGGTTTAAAATTATGTAATTTTTTTTTTTGGGGGGAGGGGGTCTGGAGATGAGTGAATATAGCTTCGGATTCCATTCACAATTGGTAGGGAGCATTTAAGCACATGTAATCAATATTTTACTCTAATTACAGCTAATTAGAATCGAATAAAGTGGTTTTTGTGGCGTAAAATCTGATAAGACTTTTAAGTGAAGCACATTTTTCATGCGTCCTAGACCGTATGATGTCCGTGTAGTCCTTTAAAAAAAAAAAAAAAGTTATAAAAGGTAGCCAAAAAACATGATGTGTGTTAAACTTAAGCACAGATATGTTAAATCGTGCAGTTTAATTGATGCCACAGACCTCCTATGAAGCACATATGACTTCGAATCATCATATTACAATGTATTCTAACTATGAGAGAAGGAGGTTTAGATGTTTGAAAATATGGTGTGGCGCTAGAACAATGCTGAAAAAGTGAAGACACAAAAGAAGATAAGTAAGTAAACTTGTTTTCCTCATCATTTTGCGTCATTAATATCGAATAAATAATGAAGTTGTCAATTGAAATCGAATTTTTGATATCAGTCGTCTCAGCCATCAAGGTAAGTAAGTGCGTTAATTTGAAAATTACATTATTTAAATGTTATGAAGGTTTGGCAAAGCCTGATTCAAAATGGACGAAAGTTAGTTATAATTGCTTCTCAGATCGATGATAATGATGTTAACGTTTCAAATCATAGCCATTGGGTAGATTTTGGGCTCTGCTTTCTAAACTACATTTCCTTTGAAACGGTAATTTCTGTTCCGCAGAAAATCAAAAATGAGCACGAATTGATAAGGCGCGGTGTCAACACCTCTGTCCCAACTTGAAATGAAGCAGAACAGCATAAAAATAGGAAAGTTTCAAAAAATATTTGCGAAAGCATAACTTATTGCACCTTAACTTGAGTGAAGTACTTTAATAGAATTTCTAGCTCCTCTTCCCATCAGAAAAAAAAACCGAATACTGCTAGTCTTCACATGTGTGTCATTTTACGCAATCACAAATTCAATGTGGAAATTGCAGGTGATAGGTCTAATCTTACTGAAGAATGTTTACATTTTACCGGAAATCATGGTTGACAGATTGCTTCGGCATTAACTGGTTCTCTTAATAGCAGGATAGGATTTTCATCGATCGATTCGCCTTCAATCAAGAGGGTAGGCAAAACTGATCGATCCGTGAGGCTAGTTATCGAAATAACTTATAACTTGCTGGGGCTGGTTTGTAAGTTGACTTTTCGACGCAAAGCGCCGACAGGGGCTGGGCCGTAGAGCCTTTGGGGAGTGAACCCCCTGATATTACACACAATTCACTTCCACCTTTCATCGGAAAAGTATTGCCTCTATAGCATATTATGTGCAATAGACACCGCTACTTTAACTATCATCAATTTTTCGTTCCTATTTTCAGGTCACCGAATATGCAGAATCAAAAAACAAAAAAGAGCAGGCCATTGAGAGCGAGAAGAGTGCCAACACTATTGTGAAGACATCAGAGTTTACCGAAATACTTGGATCGAGACAGTTTGTCGATAAATCGTTGTTCCTTCGATGGTTTATCTCAGAAGGGAAAGACCTCTACATTACCGGTCCGTCGGGCCTGGGAAAAAGCACTCTCCTCAGTATGATGCGCACGTTTTTCACAGCCCAATTTCATAACAACGGCACCTATATCGACCCAAAAATCACAAAAATACGAGACTTCTTCAAAGCACCTTGCAGATTTGATGGCATTCAGACTGCCTTAAAGATTTACCAGCACGAGGACTTTTTCGAGAAGCACTTCCAACGATACTGCGTTATTTTTGTGAATTTACACCCTTTGAAATTCATCCATGATATCAGTTCATTCGAGGCAAGACTGCTTGAAATCGTCGGCACGGTTTTTAAGAGTTTTAAAATCCCCGAGAGTCCAAACTGTCGAGAGATCAAATCCTTGGTTGATGTATACGAAACCATGGGGCTGAGTCTCAGTGAATTCGATATGAGGAGAGTCGAACACGTCTCAAAGTTCCTGAATGGCCTGTGGAGTTGTTTCAACAAGAAATTCATAGTTCTGATCGACGAGTACGATGCAATATTGCACGCCTTGATGTCGGGTAACGTTACCAAAACAGATTCCGGGCTCGTGTTTTGGGAGGTGCACAAAGTTGTGGAAGCGCTTACCAAACATCAGGCTGTGCTTCGCGCCCTTTGCGTGGGCGTGCTGAACCTCGGAGGTGCAGTCGCCTCCTTGGCCGATCACATACCACATGTCCACTTCTTCGCCGATGAACGAATCCCACGCTATTTCGGTTTCTCGGACAGCGAAGTGGGAACACTCCTCGGTAGCTACGGCATGGCATCCGACAGAGATTCAATCGTGGAGTTCTATTCCGGATATCGGGTCATGAGCCCTCGAATCGGTCGCGTGCTCAACGCCGCCTCGATTTTGCACTGCATCGAGGGTAAAGGTAGTGGTAATTTTAACCTTTTTTTTAAAGTAGTTTTGTAAATTTTGCTCATGTTCAGCAGGAATTTATCTAATAATTATATTTGAATCAAGCATAATACATTCAAAAATAAAGGAAGTTATTTTAACTATATTAAAAGAAATAGTCCAAATATAGGTCTACAAATACATCTTAAAAAAAGAATCAGACTTCAAACTGAAAAAAAAGAGAACAAAATTGAGTGTTAACAAAGCCGAAAATAAGAGAGATGTGCGCGAGCCTCGAATTTTAACTTTTTTCCCGAATCTGAGAGACACTTCGTTGAAGGCATTGAGCGGAGCATCGCGAATTCACGGCTTGCACCATCGCGCGTTTAATTCTGCAGATGCAACACGGACATCCATCAAGCACGAATAGTTGTATCTCTGCGCCGGCATCATCGCGCGTCGTTTCCTTTGCTTTTTTTCCATGTTTTTATTAGAGCGCAAAAATCCAAACCTCCACGATCAGAGGATCGAAGCTCAGTGACCTCGGTTTGTATAGGTATTCTGTCAAGTTAAGAGGTGTCTTTTGGGTATAAATTGAAAAAAAAAACACGGTTATTCTGCGGTTACGCCGTTATAATGTCACACGGGATTCCACCGGTAGTAGAACCGTGGACTTTATTAAGACTATTGATTAGCATAGTAGGATAACCATGCTCGTAGTAGAATTATTTTCCTCACAGTAATATCACTGTAGACTCGGGAGCATCACCGTGCTCATCATTACAATCATCAAAACCCACCCGTGTTATAGCCGTAGAATAACGGTGTTTTTTTTCTCCGTGTAAATACTTAATTGCAAAATAAATCTTCATTTATTCATATTTATTTATTTGTGACCGTTTAACGGAGAGAGGACATCAGTCCATAAAAAATCAAAATTGAATTATTGATACCGAAGTATAAAAGAGTAAAAAAAAGTATAGCAAAAAAAAACCTTCAAAATAGTCAAAAAGGTGACAATTTTACGTTTTCTGTCCAAAAATCAAAGATTTAAAACCTAGAATCAGGCATTTATGAGATTCTAGCCTGCCATGTTTGAGACGCAAAACTATCAGATAACTTGTATGTGCAACCTTACGCCCTATATTGACATTAAAACAAACTAAATCGTCGGCAGATTATTCTTTAAGACACTACACAGAGGTTTTCATCGCATTATTAAACTTAATTTTTTCGACACAACTAAATACAAATCGTTCTACCGAAAATTATGTTCTCGTGCACAGCCGTTTCTCAATTATTGGGGGACGGTCACATTTATTTAAGTCCGAGAGGACATGGTTTCTCTTGCTGATTCTGCTTGTTTTTCTCAGGCGTGAGTGACGGATACTTCAAGGTCTCAGGGCGGGACTCCACGTTCGACGTGCTGTTTTCCGAGCCGGTGTTTGGCGAGAAAATCCTCCTGTCGGTCATGGAAAACGCGGAAATCGACATCGCACTCGAGAGAACCGGAGTAGGTGTCAACCGGATCTTGGACTTGAGTCGACAGATCGGAGAGAACGCTGAATTTGCTGCTAGCTTCAGGCTGACGGACTCCGGAATGGATTACGTCTTCCAGTATCTTCTGGAGTCCGGTTACTTCACCATCGCGAGAGGGTTAGAACTCCTCAACACGACCCGCGCAACCCCGAGGAGCGTCCGCATTAAGATCGTGCCAGCAAACCTCGAAACTAAACACATCCTGTACAGGACGCTCTTTGCGAGTCAGTTTCCCTTGTATTCCTACAGGATTACACCTGAAAAAGTAGACGTCTTAGGGGCGGCCCTGAATAACCTCAGCGAAGCGTCGCTGCGAGAAGTGATGAAGTCAGTGCGGGAATTTTCTCTGGGCAAATCTGCAGAAGGGACTCATTTGAGGTTCCCTGTACATTATTGTGTGAATAAGTTAATGAGTTCGGGTAAAGTAAAAATCGTCGAGTATGAAAACTCTATCAAGGAGAATGGGAAGGTGGTCGCTTTGGCTCTTGTAAATTTGAGGAATGAGGGCGTGGTGATCGAATTAGAGCGAAATGAGACTTCCATTGATACGTTGAGTAGAATGGTTCGAGAGAAATATGATTCTGTTTTTAACATTGGTAAATTTGCAAAAGTTAGCATCGAACGCAGAGTCCTGGTAGCTCTCCGCTGTACTTGTGCAGACCAGTGTGACATGTGTTTTACACTTGATAGTAGGAGCATTTTGAATGCAACCTGTGCGACTTACCCTGAAAATGAGTCTTTGGAAAAAAATTTATACCTGCGGAAGACTGAAATATTATAAACGTATATGTTAATTCATCTTGTACATCGCAAAGTTTTTTTCCCATCAGCACTGAGCTTTCCCACGAGTTACACATACTTGTGCAAAGAAAATCGGTGAATACTAGACGAAAATTGGAAAAGTATCCAGATGCGCCGAGTTAGTCTAACTAATTTGAAATGAGAGCGATTAGATCGAGAGAAAGTTGGAATCCTACCATGTATTCATTCGTTGATGGCGACAAACCGCCTTCAAATCTAATGCACGCAATTTTCATTGCACAAGTCGAGAACACTGTGTTTCTCACACGATACAATCCATCATGATCAGCATTTCAACAGATAAGTGGCATCGGTTTAAAAGGGAGAAAAATAGATTTCAAGTTTTAGTTCTTCATAATCTGTATAAAAAAAAAAAAATTGCGAGTCAAATTTAAGTATACTAAATTTTTCGCGGACTTGAAAATTTTGGCAGGAGAAAGTATATACACGTCGAAACGAGCTCAAAAGTATCTTAAACTGATAATGTTTTTTTTTTCTTCTTCTTTTTTTAATGTAACTTGATTTTCGTATGTAAAACGCTTCTCATTGTACACTTGCTCCAACGCGTGCATATCAATGTTAAAATAGTAGCACCTGCGCCCGCCCTCATGTTGGTTTACGACGTTGCAAACTCACCTTTAATATCTCTTATGTGATTGGAAAATTAGAATCAACGTCATTTTTTTGACGTCTCATTGATGTACCCTCTCCCTCGAATTCTTTTGGAATCACAGGTATTTTATGTGAAAACTTTGAGTAGTAAAATTTCTTCATTTTTCTTGGGAGAGACCAATTAATTCAGAATAAGAGGGGAGATTTCAAACATTGCAATCAAAACAGGGTTTAAATATACATAGTTTTACTTGATTTATGTTTTGAGATGTCAAACGATTCACATTGTTTTTCCACTGCCAGTAGTCATACGCAAGTTCCTGGAAGTCATTCATAGTATTTAGGTATTAAACACTCTTTGACAGTGATGAAGTGTGACATTATGATGATGGTTTGAAAGTGAAATGTAATTTTTCCATCTGCCTCTATCTTCCTCTTGCGTTGCGTCATAGACATTTATTGAATTCCATATAATTTTTTATTTTCACTCAAATAAGTAATAAGTAATTAAGTTGTTCCAACTCGCGGGTAATTATTGTCACATTACAGCCCTGGTGGAGGAGGAAGCAAACGATTATCCGATAACTTAACCTCAATATTACGTGATAATTTGCAACGTTTCAAAATTTTTACAAGATCTTAATTTTTAAGAGGCAAACACATCAACATTGCCTTTCGATTTTTATGGAATAATCAAAAGCTAATTTTATTTACATACATAAGAGTCGCTCTCACAGCGCTCTCTATTGCTCTGCGACGCCTAACCGCCACAAAACTCGGTCCTCGGTCCTCCAACAATCCATCAGAGAGTTGGCACTCCCTTATCTCTTCTAAAAACCCCTGTCGCCATCCCTTCACCGGGGGGTGAAGGTCCCTTTCGTCTCCTCCCAGGAATCCTCCTCCCTGATTTTATTAAAAGTTTCAATTCCTCGTTTACACTAAAAATACATCTCCTAGTCACGAAAAACATAGGTAATGCGTAGAATGTAAGTATTTTTTTTTTTTTTTTTTTTTTTTTTTTTTTTTTTTTTTTTTTTTGCTTCAGTGTTGATGATCGCGATGTGCTTTGTGCCACGCATGAATTGTAGAGCAACTATTCGTGCCTTAAATAAGTATTTTTAGTATGTACGAAGAATTGAAGGCGCTCTGTCTTTTTTGGATCCACGCATTATTGCCGGCCGTTGCATAGCCGAGCCACGGGCGGCGGGGCGGGTGGAGCGTTGAGTGCTTGGAGAATCGAAACGCCTTCACTTTTATACGTATGTAACACGGACGTCCGTGGAGCCCGAATGGTTGCATCCAGACTTTATCATGAAATTCGCTTGGTATTCGGCGCGTGCGATACCATCTGAAATATGAAGGAGCTTTGATTATTTGTCTCACATCTTGACTTCATTCCAGCTTTGCCAATTGCACCAATGAAATAACTATTATGCACTGATTGTTACCGTGACGACATTGTCAATGTTTCCTTTCGCGGAGGTAAGGAGTTAAAAGAAGTTAAGTTTTGATATTTTATAGATCGACGGTGAAAGTCGGCAATCACATAACTCGGTTTGCGACGTCGCAGACTTCCTGTCATACTTTATTTGTTAAACGGAAAACTACTCAACGGTAATTCTTTAAAACTGCCGTGATTTTTCTTCTATGTGCGAGGAAAATTCTGCAAAAACTTCAAGGAATCACGTCCATTTGTTCTCCTTTAAAAAAATAACATAGTTGCGGAGATTTTCAGACACCGCAAACGAGTTATGTGATTGCCGACTTGCACCGTCGATATGTTTTATTTACATTTTTTATCGTGCAGAAGGGATAAATAAACTTTATTTTTCTTTTGAAACTCATTCAAGTCCTAAAAGTACGGTTTAAAAAACCAAAACCTATGACCACTGGTCCATTTCCGGAAAAGGGGCACATAACGGAAAATTTTAAAAAATTCCTCCTACGACAGTAAAAATAATAAGTTTAGTGTAATTAAGTTTTACCAATGGTTTTTACTCACCCCAGGCAGGGCCGGATTAAGGGGGTGGCCATATGGGCCGCGGCCCATGGCGGTAAAATGTAGGGGGCGGCAAATTTTGCAATCTTTTTGAATGTAGGTCTGTATCAAAAGAAGAGAGAGAAAAATCTGATTCAGAAAATAAACTACAAACGAGCAAAGGCGACAAAATCTCTCATTTCCTAAAAGTAAAAGTATTGTAATTTCTAATTTTGTCGTCTTTTGATGATACAAGGGACAGCGCCTTATTTAAGGTAATTAGTCGAGTTAAGAGCGAAAAATTTCGCGAGTCGAGAAATTTGACCTGAAGCGGAGCGGCGCAGAGAGCAATGATGACTAGGACTGACAAGAGCAATGATGACGAGGACTGACAATTGTGAGATGAAAAAGAGAAGCCCTCGGCGTGGCGGTCGACATGAAACGCATAGCGCCTAAAAGACTGCACGAATACTTCACGCATTGCGTCAAACAGTGCGGTCAGCAGCGCAGCGGTCGGCGCGGCGTGAAACGCATAGCGCATCAATACTTCACGCATTGCGCCAAACACCGTGCGGTGGGCGCGGCGGCGGAAGTTAAAATTATTAAACCACATTTATTTTTGTTCTTTCATAATTTTTTCGTTCGTTCGTTATGAAGGGAAGTTCAAGTGTCCAGGTTCCGATGTAAGTCACCATCTTTGTCAGAAAGTAATAATGAAAACTTCAAATGCGTTTTTCTCACATGCGATTTATCGGTATGCGCCCTTTTTCCGGAAAGCTCCTCGATTTTGAGTTGAAACATTCTGGTATAGTCTGTCCCAGATAGGAAGAGCGCTGGAAAATCAGAATAATTTGCACTATGTAGAAGCAAGGTATCGTTCGTTCTATTGTGTCCGACTAATCACCGAGCAAACCCCGCACCGTACAGAGGGTTGGTTATGAGCTCCGCGGCGCGTCGGCGTCTTACGCCGAGAATCCGCTCCTGGGCCTCGGGGAAAACCATCGCGGAAAGATGCGAAGGGAGTGTGCGTTGCCTCGAGGTGGCTTGTGGCCCTCTGTGCGACGCATTTGAGAGGCGACTAGATGACAGGTAACAAGGGTTGAGGTACCTCCAACCCGCCAAATGGTGCTAATTATTCTGATTTTCCAGCGCTCTTCCTATCTGGGACAGACTATAGGTGAAAATTCATAGTTGCCGCTTTTCTATCTCGATGCTACAAACATAGGACCCGTATGAGCAGAAGTACTATCATTTCGAAAAACGTCTGTTTACTTTCCAGGTTTGTTAGGTTATGCCTGCCTGTAATCATTTCTGATAAGATAGTTGAGTCGTTGAGTCGGTAATTGGTCGGTAACAGTTTCTTTTCTTTATCGCACCTATATTTTTTTAAATTTATCCTCATTAATGGTAATCAGTTCTCTCAATTTTTTTTCTCTTTCGATCAACGTCTGTACACCGGCTTTTTACTGACCCTGAAATTTTGCAGAGGAAATGGTAAGCTTTGATCAAATCAACCACATCAGTATTCAATGTGTTTTTCCTCGCCTTTTCTCCCCTTTTCATTCCGTCAATCCTATTTAAATTTTTCAGGCTATTGTCACTATCTCATTACTGAGCAGTCTCAAAGTTATGACTCCTCTATTTATTTATATTTTCACCCCAGGATCTGCCGACTTGAGACGTAAACCTATCGTAAACTTGGAGCATCTTAGAGTGCAATACAAAGAGGCTTGGAGGCTTTATTCATTTTGCCTGAAACATGTTTCCTCAACTCATGTTGCAAAACGAAGTTTACTCTGTTCCTAACTTACATTAAAACCTTCCAACATTTCGCATAGCTGTAGTTTTACAGGTTGCCTGAACAAGCGCTTGTTTCCCCAAGTTACCTGCGCTCTCTTAGTATTGGGTAGGATCGCTTTTCTTAAAGTCAGTATTTGTAGAATGGAACTCAATATGTTTTGAAATTTCGCGGAGCTCTGTTGTATTTAATAACTTCTGTAGGCCTTTTGGTTGATTTTACGAGTTAAAAACTATCTTAACCTGCACTTGCCGCTCGCCTATCACACATTGAGACCAAAGTCAAGTTTTGCTCACACCAACACTCAACAGCAGAGCCATCTGTATTCATTTAATAATCTGTTGAGTGGTGCAAATTTGGGGCTAGTTGCAGATTGACTTTAGATCCGACAATAATGAGGGAGCTCTACCTACAAACTCTTGGATAGGCTTTAGATGAAATTAGGGATGTAGATACTGCTCCTGTATAGATTATGATTGCTATTACTTATCTGTCATCTAACAAAACTATTTGTTCACAGGATAAATTCTTGGAAGAAGAGCCACTGAATGGTGAAACCACCGTGAAAAAGGTATGTCAGTACCTATCAATTTATCCTTCGACCAGATGTTCATATCATCCAAAAAATATGGAAAAAACCTATTCCTAGATAGTCAACAAATTTTCATTTACTTGTTTATGTGATTTAGTGGCTGCTGGAGCGTTGGTTGAACTAAAAATTGACAGCATTAGGTATCTGATACATCACATCGAGTTGGTTTCATGTAATTTCCGATAGCTGTGATGCTAGTAGAATTTCGCTTTGGCATTTCAAAAGTCTAAAGACTGTCACGTCTTATGAATGTTACGTCTTATGAATGTTACGTCTTACGTCAATGCTGTCAATAATGAAAAGTCGTTTTCCATCTTTTTTAAAATTTAAATATTTTTGCTGTCGCAGCACCTCTTTATAAGGTATCAAAGCATACGAAAGTCCTTTGATGTTGTCCGGGGAATGTGGTTTTTCCCTGCACAGTATCTCAAGTTAAATATTTTCACAAATTATCTCGGTCAAGAGTTGCTACTGATGAGAACTCCTATCATAACTTTCATGTGAATCTCATCCTCGAAATATTCCAAATAATTAGAGAATTTACACCCTCCCCTCCCCCCTTCCCATTTGTTTGCAAAAATCTGCCTAACTTGCGAATTTCTTTCATTTTCAGGCTGGAAGATCTGAAACCGTTGATCTGACCGATAACTCACTAGTTGTTGACATATCTGATGCCCTTAGTGAAGCTGATAAAATAAAGTTTACTGTTCATACCAAGGTATTATCTTATAGACACACCTTTGATCAATTTTTCGTGCCTCTAGAAACATTCAACAAATAAACAATCGTGCCGCAGTTACTTCTTCATTTTTACTAGCATATCAAAGCATATTGCGAGGGCCTTGAGCCTGACAATACCATTTAAGAAGTCCTTTTAAGGAGTCCTTATCTCTTGAAAAATAAATTTGTTGGAATTTGAAGATTTTGGAAAGTTTTCTCGGTGATTGACCACTGTTTTACATTCTTTCTTCTTTCATTTTTCAAGAGCATGATCAATTTGATCCTCCAAATGCCATCAAAAGAAAAATGCTAGTTTAGCTCATTTTACTCAGTAGCTTATCAGCTAAAGTGTCAAAAAGTATTTTGTTTTTTCATGTCTATTTTTCAGTACAAGCAGAGGTGCAAAAACTTCCTGACCACAAGCCCATATGAGGCGTGATGGGTAACGTGTAAAAATGGGAAGGCCAGTCAAATTTGGTTTTTTTTGCAGAGTTACGCAAGCAATCATGTGTCACCCGTAACATCACAGCAATTAAGTATCACTTACAGAGTCTTGAAACAGTCAAAATTCCCAAGGAAAAAGGAATTTTTAAAATGAGAAAGCCAAGAACTTTCTACATCCCTGAGTCTAACTATCGTGAGGAGAAACAGAGGTGCAGATTTGTTTCTTATAAGAAATCATGCTTCAAAGAATAAATTGTTCCCTCAACGGTTCAACCCTATTTGTAAATATTTTTTTCATGAAAACTGCTTGATTCTTTTTTCTCTTTTTATCTTGTCCTTATTTTTTACCCATTTCTTACAGACTACACTGCCAGACTTTGCAAAAACTGAATTCACGGCAACTCGTCAGCATGAGGAGTTTGTATGGCTTCATGATCGATTCGAGGAAAATGAAGAATATGCCGGCTACATAGTAAGTTATATTGGTTTTCTCAATCTCAACAGTTTCACCTTGGCACCTATTTAGCGTTCAATCTCACTTTATACTTTTATTAAAAGAATTGTAAAATAAAATTTAAATTTTTACACACCAGCCTCCAATAATGAAACAAAGCAAAAGTAAAGAACAAAATCTAGAAGAACAGGAAATGAGGCTGAAAACACGTGATGTACGAGGTGAATTCTTGTGTGCAACAACCATTGTAAGAACTTTGTCCAAGTATCTCTCTTTTCTTGGAATAGATATGACTTGACTGGGTATTTTCTGATCAAATTTTAAAGCAGCAACGCTTACGCCACCACAGCACTTCAAGAAGGCGCCCTAATGACAAGATTCAAAGATTTTGCCAAAATCTGTCTGGGAATATGGTCAAAATTTCAAAGGAATAAAGCAGGAGGCATTTTAACCTGTTACTCAGTCATTATCAGTTGGTGATACAATAATAAAATGCTAGAAATTAAGACCTGGAACCATATTTCCGGTAAGGCATGAGACAAGAAAAAGAGCTTACCTATATTAAAATAATTTTAAATCAAATTGTTGAAGGGAACGGAAGAACAAAAATATTAGTGCCACAAATTTCACCAAAAAAATACATTTTCCAATTGTAATATCCGTTCATCCAGAAAGCCATATGTAGTTTGCCTCTGCTGCTCAGTGTTTATATAATATACTGCACTGAAAATAATTCATAGGTTATGAAAAATTGCATTGTTTCAAACCTGCAGTGTGCATGGTTTACATCAAGAATTTCAAATATTTTGTAGTAAAGAATAGCTGACAATTGTGACTTTTCTTCAGATTCCACCAGCTCCACCTCGACCTGATTTTGGCGCCTCCAGAGAAAAGCTCCACAAGCTTAGCGAAGGAGAAGGGACCATGACCAAAGAGGAACATGAAAAAATGAAGCGGGAGCTTGAAGCGTCAGTATTTCATTTCATTCTATTATCCACCTTGCATAATTAACAACAATTTCTTTTACCTAATAAATGATGAGCTATATTGACTTGTCTTTCGTTTGTGGCTTATCTAAATACAAGAGAGGGTCAAAATAAATCTTATATTTATGAAGTAGATTTCATTTTTCAGAAATTTTAATATTCTAGGTGTAGATACTTCCTTTGAATTATTCTGCGTTGTTATTTTACCATATTAGTAGATCTTACCGATTCACTTCAGTGAATATTAGGACTCTTAAAAGTTTTATTGAATCACAGCTCCCCCAGAAATAGAGAAAAATTGAGAGAAATACAATTAAAATAATCTGCTAACATAAAACCCTATAAATTCCTGTTTGTGGTATGGCATTAAAAGCTCTCAGGTCAAACCGTAGATCTTAAAAGGAAGAACGTCATTATAGGTGTCCATTTGCCTAGCAGCAGGAGACTTTCCATACAGGACAAATGTTAGCAATTTTTCTGTTTCTAGTACTCTTAATTAACATTTTCAGAAAAACTCTCATTGTTCTTATAAGATGTTCATGAAAGATACTGTTACAATATGCTGAACACAGAAGAGAGCAATTTGATGGTGAACTTGCATAAACGCGTTTATTGATTGCAGTGTCTAAAAATTGCTACTTCTGCTTTATTCTTTAAAAGAAGACCAAACCAGCAACATGGCATGAAATATTTATTGATACTCCTCTCATAAACAAGAAGAATTACCAAAGTTTTCAAGAAATGATGTTGAGTAGTTTTCTATTCAGAAACTAAAGTCAGCAATGCCAAAAAAAAGATATAAGTTTCTGCAGTTTCATTGTCGAATCGTCATTTATGTCATTTACTCTCACCCACAGAGGTATTTGTAAGTACTTGTTTGAAAATTGAAAGTGTCCAGTTAGAAGTGGTCCCGCTGATCTAACATCTCTTCCTGCTCGGTTGTAATTTGAGTTCCCTTTTCTGATTTACAGCGAATACCTGGCAACATTCAAGAAAACAGTAGCAATGCATGAAGTATTCTTATGTCGTCTAGCTCAACATCCAGTCTTCCGCAATGATCATAACTTCAGGGTATTCCTGGAATACGAGGCTGATCTAGCTGTCCGTATGAAAAATAAATATGAAAAGCTTGAGGTAAATTTTAAAAATAAGCAGTTCTGCTGATCCATGTCAAATGTAGGGTGTCTAGCAACCAAGAAAACTTGGAAAGTCAGGGAAATGAAAATGGTTAGGGAGAGAAAACGCACAACATGGAGAGTCGTAAACTTCCATGCAACATTGTGATTTGTCATCTAAATCCCAGCACCTCAATTTTCAGCACTACAGAGCTCTCTCACGGTGTGCAGTAAATTTTTCTCTTAGCTTTAAGTATAAGTCCCTTCCAATTCCGCAATGGTACTTTGCACTGACCTTTGTTTATTTTTGTGTTTCTTTTGATCAGGAAAAAAAGGTCAGGGAAAGTTAAGAAGATCATCCAAGGGTTAGTTGGGACGCCATATTTCTCTGTCCATTCTTTGTTCTTCAAATCCTTCTTGCTCCTTTATACATTTGATGATCATACGATTGAAAGTATAACAATTAGGCTGTTTTAATCACTTAAGGGGGCATTGATAACCTCTATTTTTCTAACACTGAAAAAACAAATATAATCAAAGTGAAATAATAATCTTTGAAAACAGTCAAATTATAGATTCACAGAAAATATTGATCATCCTTGAATATACAGTAGAATCCTGGCTATTTGTGGTTTGGATTTTCTGCAATCATCAAATTGTTATTTTGTTTTCTTGGATAAAAAGAGGGTGAAAAAGGTGGTGAAACATGTAATAAAAATCTTGACGATCAAAGGTAATTTGATCTCTTTCCTCAAACCACTTTTTTCCCCAATTTTCCAGGCGGTCATAACTCAAGCACTGCACTTCTTACAAAAAAATTCTACCTATTATAAGGTTCTTTCTCAGTTCACAAATTAAGATTATGTGCAGTACCTCTGGTCCCAATCACCGAGGATAACCGGAGTTCTATCGTAATTAGTTGTCAGAGTAGATTGCAATTCAGTCATTAAATATTTGATAATATATCAAACAAGTTTAATGTATTTATTGTTTTTTTCCAGGATTGGGTGAAGTCAATATCCAAAACAACTGATGAATTTCTTGCCTCAGCTACCGTAAAAGATATCTACGAATTTTTTGACACAGAGAAAAACTTCTTAATCACTTACCACTCACATTTAAAAGATGCTGTAGCCAAAGCTGATAGAATGACCAACAAACACAAAGGTAGTAGCAGAAGTTATGAAAATCATTAATACTCTACATTAATGAAGTTAAGGAATTTTCAAAAAACAAATGGCCTTACCATGGTTTCAAACTCGGACCCAAAAGTGCGATGAAAGGCATTGCCTGCATGGAATTCTTTTTATACAAAAAAAAATAAACTTTACAAAATCTGAGTGGGTTAGTCTCAGCAGTGGCACATGAATAAAAAAGTGGGAAAACTTGAAAGTTATGAAATTGTTTTTTGCTCTTCAGCAGTGCACCAGCAGTGCACAGTTGGACCCAGTGTAACAGAATTGTACCGAGTCATATTAAGTTTGAACTGAGGTGAGATTGAAAGAGGAGAATAAGAGGTTTTAAGTTTTATCCCTCATAAGACTGAATGTCAAAGACTAAGTTTAAAAACTAATTTCATGTTAAATATTTTTTCTGGGCTTTGAATGTTCGACAGGAGAATTCAAAACCACCCCTAACTATATGTATATTTTTCTGAGTGAGACTTGGTGTGCTTTTATTCAACTCGGTCTAGTTTTCCTGAGCTCTTCATTGATTTTTTTCTCTTTCTTTCTTTAAAAACTAGTGTTTTATTTATAAAATAATATTTAGGTACTATCTTGTTTAACTTATATTATTTGTTATTCAATGTTTATTGAGGCTTGCCTCATCTAATGCTTTCCTAGCAATCATTCACAGGCATAAGAGAAGTGTGTACAGCGCAACAAACATAACTTAAAAATAATAGTTTGTAAACTTATAAGAACCTTAGCAACTCTCTGCCGTCTTTACGGCAGTATAATATAACTACAAAATGATTCGCCTCGATGAAAAGCCAGGCCATCTCCAAGAAACATGTGCCAATTGTACATCCGTACATCCAATTTGTTGTCTCTACATCTTCAGCTGATAAAAATCACCTTGCCAGGAAATCGCTTGTCCTTGACATAATGATAAGATTCTCCGTCAGAATAAAATTTTAAGAAGCTTTCGCTGCTCGATTTTTATTTCAGATGTAGCGGACTCCTACATGAAAATTACCTCTGCACTGGTATGCCTAGCAACCACTGAGCACCGAGATCTGGATAAGTTCCTAAATAAGCTTGCTGAAACATTTGAAACTGCCAGGGTAAGCAAAATCCATCTGTTTTTAATGAACCGTTAGTTTGCAAAAATAACGCTGAAATTACTGAAGCCAAAGGGACATCCCCTCTGATTTTTTATAAAAAGGTTTCCCATAACTTTGTCAAAACATGAGGAAGGGACAGTTATTTCCTTTTATCACAAGGCATGCCAGAGGTCTCAGACCCTTCCTCAAATAACCGAAAAATTCGTTCCGAATTCTCCTACCTGCAGAAAGGTTGAACAGTGCTGGGTCCAGGCCCAAAATTTCTGCGGGAAATAGTATAAAGCGGAAAAGGGTATATTTCAACTAAAAAATACAATTCAATTGAGGGAAGTTGAAATTTAACTTTTAAGCACAATATATCACACAAAATGTCTACATTAGTTTGAACTAGCTTCATGTGATCTTCTATGAATTCTAACATAATTACAGCTCAACTAATCTTACCAAACCTATTCAAACAAGCCACTACAGACTACTTTAGGATACGACCATAGGACATTTGCGATGAATCTAATGATTAAGATGCAGAATAAATGCCCCCTTCTAGTTACTCCCTTTATATTAAAAAGATTTGTTTTAAAACATTGACGCTCATAATTGTGCGGAAAGATTTAAAAACTTTAACACATGTCTTCGGCTCACAATGGAATAGTAGATGAAAATATATGTACATGCTTTAGGCAAGCAAAGTGTCAATCAGTTTTGTTAATATCATTTCGATAGGGAGACTACAAAATCATGTTTTGGTTTATAACATTGCAAAATTATGATGAGCAGAATTGAAAAACTTCTCTAAGGCGTAACTCTTTTAATACATTCTTAAAGTTTAGTTTATGTTTGCAAATTGCTCTGTATTTAATTTTTACCAAAAAAATTAATTTTAGAAAGTCGAGCGGATCGTAGCTTCAGATGAAGATCTGAAGTTGTCAGACACATTACGCTATTACATGGGTGACTCATTTGCTGCTAAGCGACTGCTCTACCGACGACTGAGGTGTCTAGCCAATTATGAAAATGCCAACCGCAATCTGGAGAAAGCTCGCGTGAAAAACAAAGATGTTCATGCTGTAAGTTTTTCTTTTAGGTCAAAACTTTTAAGTTTCAGAATAGATTTCTACATTTGCTTTGCATGCTCATCCGTTGAATTTATTTGGTTGACTTATTGAAAATGTATCTTGTCCCATGGGAGAAAAAAGGATTCTTGGTGGGAAATGAGTTGTGTTTTAAAAGGGAGTAAGAATAGTTAGAATGAAGAGCCCAGGTGAAAAAACCATACACTGTCTTTGGGGCCTTTCATAAAATACATAATGCTCCTGGAGATGGATCAAAGAGTGCTCTCCGCTTTGTTTTTACGTGTTGAAAGACTAAGATCTACGTCACATAAGCGTTAGAAAAGAGGTTAAAGAGGGTGTGAAAAAATCTGAAATTTAATGCTATGTAATTGATGAGAAGCCCCTATGCTGCAGGTCAATGAAAGTTTTGATCTCGCAATAATTTTATGAAGACTTGAATTTGGTGAAAATTTGTTTATACGGATGTAATGTTTCGAATGTTCATCCTTTTTCTTACTTTTGAGCGGATTTAATGGAAAGCAGCCTAACTGCGTTTCATGTTGCCCGATTTCCTCTCAAATTTTACGTTCTAAACAGCGAACCAAGAAAGAGAATTCATCTAAACTCTCTGTACATTACACTTGGCTTATGTATGATGAGCACAAAATTTCAAGTGAGAATGATGATCATTTTTTTTATTGAAAAAATAAAACATGAAAGGAACCTAGGTAACGCTTAATATATTTAAACATCATTATAATGAGACATCAATTTTCTCCTTTAGGCGTGTTACTATTGTGTGTTTCGGTAGTGATCTAATTAGCAAAATTCTAGAAAGCACTCTGAGTTGGCGTTTGTGCAAAAGATAGAAGTTTCCCTAGGGCTACGGAAATGTTCACAGTTGATTGCATGAACTTATATCACCAATTTATTCATTTTAATCTCACTTGTTCCACTTTTGAACTACTGCTGTCATTTGACGTTGCTTATTATTTCACTAATTTTTATATTGTTAGTGTAATCATAGTGTATATTTTATGTACAAAATTTGTTTGTTTTGCAACAATGGAAGGCTCCTGAAGTGACGGAAGTAAGTGAATTTTGTCCAAATTCATAACTTTTAAAATTTGCCAGAAGATGCTCATAATTTAGGCCAGTAAAGTTTTACTCTAAAATTCTCAAAATTTTATGACCAGACCATCTGCCGCCAAAATCATCTCAATTCAAAATCTGCTATTTTCAGTAATTCTCTCTTGATGTAACATCCTTAGGATCATTACTGATCACTTGATTCCAATCTTTCCATGTGCCATTTGGTCAGTGGAAAGCAAACTATGGAACACTTTTTTTTCTAATTTTGCTGGTGGAGATGGCACTATTACTGTTAGCTGTACTGCTGATAAAAAATTTGCACTTTTTCTTCCTACATTTCCAAGTACCAAGTATCTCTAATGCTCAAGAGCGTCTGTTTTTTTTTATTCTTGTTCAAACGTTCATTTCAATTCCAAAGTTTCTTTTTTCATTTGACTTCCCCATCCTTAAAAGTGATTTTTGGAAGTGAAAATTAACTACTTCTTGTTTGTAACAAATTTGAACAACCAGACTTATTTTAGTGCTCTATCAATTTGTTCATCCCATTCCATATCATCTTATTTCTGCTGGTTTGAAGGGGCACTGACGTTGACCAGAGAAACAATTAACTTACAATCAAACCGATGGGCTTGTATCGAAACTTTATATCTCCATTGCGATCTTTCAAAATTTCCTCCCTCATTTTAGTTTTTTTGAAGAGAAAAAAGCTAACTTTATAGCTTGAAATTTTTATAAAATATTTAGCTAGCTGAGAAGAAAAATCCAAGAAGCTCTCAAGAAATTTCGTTGACTAGTTCTCCAAAGAAGGAATAAAGTATGTCAATGAGTCTGCCATGTTGCAAATGGAGATACATGTTTTGCACTTTGACCATCGAAATATTTCTGATTTTCACAAAAAATCAATTCAAGTCAAATTCACCACAATACAGGCTATGATTGTGTGCAGCCCTTATTATCTTCTTAAAAATGCGAAGTCCTGATCATAGTTTTTGTAGAGATCGAAAACAGTCCCTGGAATCAAAGATTGACTCGCACCAATGAGCGCTGATCCAGAGTAATTTGTGCAAGTTAGTCAAACTCATCTGTGGATAGCCAAGTCCCTCTCAGCTACCTTTATACCAAAATATTTTCAATGGACATCTGTTTTCGAAATATTGACCTCAGACTAGCGCTTTTGGGGGGGTTCAGATTTTTCAGGAGACGCCATACTTGCTTGAAGTGTAGTTCTTTAATTTTCGTACAGATCAACGCTACATCACTAAAGACCGATTTCAACAGAAACGCCTCAAGTTGCATTTTGGAGAAAAGTGAGACAGGAGTAGTTTTGAATTTAACTAGTTGTAAATATCCTCCTAACAGAAATTCAAAGCTGAGAAAAAATAGTTTGAAGCTGGAAACAGTCTACAAACTTTGTCTTCGAAATTGAGCCCTTTGGAGGAGTAAAACCTCAAACCCCTCTCTCTACTAAGCCTGGTCCATATTTGCTTCATTGAATTTTCTCCCTCTTTTTTACGTCAGGTTGATTATTAACAAGTATTATTTTTCAGGCTCAAGAGGCGCAAAGGCAAGCTTGTGAGAAATTTGAACTCATGTCCGACAAAGGAAAAGAAGGTAATATTTACTATCTATGAATTTCATTAAATCATATCTCATTATTTATTATGATTTATTAACCCATGAACAAGACTTTGATTCGACAAATATTGTAGATAGAACTGTAACAAGTACAGTAATACCCTGACCAGTCGACTAAATAATATAGAAATATATAATTTAATGCTTAAATTCAGTCCCTGTCTAATGTCTAGTGGTCCATTTATTTCGCAAAAACCAGCAACTATAGAACGGTGAATGTATTTATGTCTGACACTCAACAAAAAATGTTGAAAATTGATACAATTTGTAATTACAGTATTCTTTCGTAGAAAAATAGCAGAAACTTATAGAAAATTACTAGATTTAGATACTAGATTCACATGATGTGAAAGGAATAGTAATCTTAATATAGCAGCCTGATTGTTGAAATTTTGGTCGGCACAACAAGAATTGACAATTGATACATTACATGAGGCAGATAGGGCTATGTCTTGTCTCATCTTGCTGATAAAGCCGGTTAAAGTTTCAACAAGCGGGCTGCAGGACTATTTAAACTAATGTTTAACTCAGAAAAATGAAACTGCGTGGCAACTTTTTGAAAAGACTTGGAAATGCAGTACCTAGTATCCACAAAAAATGGTATTGTTTGCCATTGGAGTTATGTATCATGATTCTTTTTTATCTTCTTTCAACTCCTGGCTAATGTTTTTTTTCAGAGCTTCAAGATTTCAAAGCAAGGAGAGTCATCGCATTCCGAAAGAATTTGATAGAATTAGCTGAATTAGAAATCAAGCATGCCAAAGTAAGCACTTAAACTGTTAATTTTCAATCCTCGATAAATTCGTCAGAGAAAATCTCTGTATACGAAATTGCATACTTTAAAATCCTATGAATTTGTGACTCTACTTCCTCCATATTTTGATAAGCCAATATAAGCATGAAGATTGAAATTTGATGCCCAAAAGATTTAATTTTGTCCATGAAGAGAACCCTATGGTCCTGGTCCCCCCTTTATCCACAGGAATTAGCGTGGCAGTTAATGTGTTAGCAGTCTGAAGTTTGCTGTTTAAAAAGAATAGTCTTGAAAAAAGCTGTTTCATTTTTAGTCCTCAATGCTTTGAGGCTCTAAATTATACAATTAAAACATAGCTTTACGACCTGTATGAATGCAAGAATTAACCCACATCTGCCAGTGTCAAATTCTCCTAGATGCTGAAGAAAGTTTTATGTCAAAATCTCAAATCCAAATTTTCAACTGAACCCAGCAAGAAATTTTTGCAACAAATTTCTCCCAGAAGATTTTTTTCCAAGCAGTACTGAAATTGCTTTTCCCCATGCGAGTTACAATTTTTTATTCCAAGTTTATGAGCTAGTGTTCAAGTCAAGATATTTACCTATATTTCATAGTCATAATATTTCATATGAACTGTCCTCTATGTAACTGTATTTTTCTAACAATTTTTGTTTTGTTTTTTAGACCCAAGTGCAACTGTTCAAGAACACCTTATCATTTTTGAGAAATGAACCAGCTCTCAAAGAATCTGGCGACAACTAACTTTGCTCTTCAAGTCTAACTCAGCCATCTTCTGTTGCGGACTAAAAGTTTCTGAAAAGTGCCTAACTGTAGTTATTTAAAGTTGCAATGTTTGCATTTCGAACTAAACCAATGCGCTTTGAGCCGGGCAATCATCAGTATTTGAGCCCTCCAGTTTATTCCAGAAACAATCTGTCAGCCTTTTTTTAACCGTACTACATTTATGTCCTTATTATTTTGTATACCTTTTATTTTTATCTTTACATGCCGAAGGAAGCTTGGTAATTTCATTCCAAGACCTGATATGAGGATTTAAGTGAGTGTAAAGGACCAAAATTCCACCATTACATCTGAGTATCAATTTTGAGGAGTGGAATGGTAAGGTAGTTTAATCAAACATTCTCAGCAGATGATATTGAATCTGCCTGATGGATAGTTTATAAATTGATAGACCAAGCAAGAAAGTTATGAAGCAAACATATGAAAAATCACATTTTCAATTTTTTTTTTTCTTTGGAAAATACTAGTGCTGGACAAAACTTCTTTCAATCACTTAGATAAGAATGAGATAGCCTTTCTTCCTTCACTCATCCATCTGAGTTAAGATAAGGCATCTTCTCCTAACTAAAACATAGTATGGCACATCAGTGTTGCATCATCAAAACTTTCAATCACTTATCTTTGATTATTTTTAATGATGAATAAAAAAACGTTTAACATATAAGAAAAAGCTATGATCGCCGCTATGACTTCCCTTTGTTCTGTGGTTATTTTTTCGTGCAAATATATTATAGTTATGTTATTGAGTATTGTTTATTGTTAGTATTATTTTCGTTATGGGCTCATTCATCCTGAGTTCCAGTTTTGCGCCAAAAAAATCTGAACTTGACTAAATCTTCGATTTCATGGAGCAGAAGTTTTCTCAGGTTTACTTTTTTTCTTCTATAAGTTGGACCAAAATAAGAGACTACACCCTCTCTAAAAATTCATCATGGTACATTCATGCTCTCATTTCTAGTATGAATGATCAGTCAAAGAAAGGAGCCATCTCTGCTGCCAGGCTCTCAAGACTTGAAAAACATTGTACATTAAAGTGAGGTTAAAACTGCATGTTTCTACTCATCTAAAGAAAAAGAATTTTGAAAAGTTCAATATTTTCTTCGTCTAATTTTTTCATCTTGAAGTTCCATATGAGCCCAGTTACCACTGACTGGTAGTATTCCAATTGATCTGGCTCCTTCCTTGAGTCCTGCTACCTTACAATGTATTATTACTGTATACACGTATCGTTAATTTGTAAATGTGTATCTATCTGTATTCTTGTACGTATGTAGGTAAGGCTATACTTACTTTATTGTTGCATTTAAATTTGCCTATTTATATTTTATTACTTCCATTTAAATAAATGATTCTTGAAGTGTTACTCTGTTGTTTTAATTATCTCTCATGAAAGAGCATGATTTTTAAATTCAAGGACTCAATGTTTTCGACTCCCTTCCTCAAGTGTCACAGTTTGTGGGTAAGGGTACCTTAGTTGATAAAGGCAAATGTGCTATTTTTGTTTGTAAAACACTCCTCATAGCAATGGTATTATTGACTCAACTTCAAGTCAAACGTTGGTAGATCCCTTTTCAAGAGCAGTCGAGAAGATTAAGATTAATTAAAGATTAGGTTCTTTCATTTAAGACATCAACGCTATTTGACTTTGGTGTTTCCAGGATTTGACAACAGTACATACAACGAAAAGACTGAAATTTTGGAATTTGTATTTGAGATTTTTAAAAGGTTTTTCAGTACCTGGAGTATAAAATCGTACAGTCATAATGGTTTGTGCAGTTAGGTAGGTAAATTTCTCTACAGAAGAGAGAAGAGAACATAAATTCTTTAAGAGTTTGTGACCAATTTTTGGAAAAATTGGATCTCAAAGACTTGTTGGCTGATTTGACAAAATACAAAAATCAGTTCAAAAAAGGAAACCTTTAAATATAAAACGTTTGGGTATAAAATATCGCTAGAAACTTTAGTACGACACAATTATTAAAATAAACATTCATAAATAAATATGTACAAACACAATTTCGATTAGGTACTCAAACTTAAGCTAAAAACAATTGTTTCTTAAAAATTATCACAAACAATCAACAAATATGTCATGAGACGTAAAACTTTGGAAAAGAAAAAGAATCATAATAATTGGTAAAAATTAAAATACACAGCCTAACACAAGCTCCCTGGTTCAGAAATAATCCAGGAAACTGTAAACAATTTTCCTAAAGACTAAAGTTTAGTCAGCATGACATAAGATTTCACATCAGGAACAGACCACTTCTGGAGTAAAGATTGCCACTTTTAGCCGTTTTTTTAACAAAGAAATCACATCTTCAGCATCAGCTTTGTAAAAACGCACCAATGATAAACCGCTCATTTGCCTTCTCATAGTACTATATTTAATTGTTTATTTTAATGATAAATTAGTTAATCTAGGAACACTGGTTGAACAGAGAATTCTAGCAGTGAAAGAGTCTATACAAAGAATACCAAGAGAGTATAGGCACTGGCTATTCTGATATTATTGATATGCTAAGATTTAATAGACTTTCAACTAAACCAACTGTCTTTATCCAGCTTTTCAGTAAAATCTCAGATATTGCAATATGTACACTATTTATTGCTGTCACCTTGCTGTGAAAAAAGAAGCTATGTTCATTGACTTTTTTGGACTCTTCCCTGCCTGGTTTTTCTTCCGTTTTGTACTAACACCGCTACTGTTGAAATTTTTACCACCTGTTCCTGGCTTTGAAATTCTAGCATTGGTTGTGGAGCTTGTAGATTTATTGATAATTGGCATTACAGCTGCATCCGCGGAATTCAATTCTTTATCTAATGACACGGCTGCATGAAAATCCATATGTTCGACTAATCCAGCTACCATTACTTCCTCATTGCAAAGGCTGCATTTTTTTGTGCTCAAATCAACGATCCTATCTGTCAAGATCACAGGCGTTAATTTATTGATCACATCGGAGTCATTCTCCTGTTCAGTCTCCAGTTTACTGGCTGAAAAGAGAAAAGGGAGAGGTTAAAATTAAGTCACTTACAAAGTTAACATTCTTCAAACCTTCTTTAAAAGAAGCAATGCTTTGGAAGAATGCCCCTCTTACCAAGTTGTTCCATGACGACAAACCTATTTTAACTTTTAATGATAATATTTGGAGATAGTTATGATGACTGGAAAAAAGTTTTAGAAGCAGATTAGATATGTTAAGGGTTCAGATAATTTCTTCATTTTCTAATTTCTTCACTTATGCAGACAATTCTCTAACCTTTGTACAAGACTTCCACCTTAATTTTTTTTCTTTTAATTACGCTGACTTTTACTAAACTTGGGCCGAAATTTCCACTTCTGAATATTCCAATCATGAGCAAAGGCATGCGTTCTACTGAAATCTTCTGATCTCCTCTGAATGTCCTGACTTTATTCGTCACACCAGGTTTCCAGACTGCTACAAACCCTAATTTGATTGCAAAAAAACTGGAAAGATGACTTCTTCTGTGAGAGCAGTTCTTCCCTACTACTTGAAAGCACTTTCCTTGGTCGCCTGTTTCCTCAAGTTTCAGAATCTAGTTGACATTTCAGCCCAGCTCAGTTTCCTATCAGAAATGGCAGAAAACAAGTTAACTGGGTTTTCCAGGAAGGTAGATTTCAGTTGGAAACCACTTGAAGATGATGTTAATAATGATTAATAAATTATAATTAATGATAATTTAATTAAAATGAGATATGCAATAATTACCCGGTGACGATTTGTTCTCGTGGAACATATCAATGGCAGATTCTTCCATGATTGATGGACCTTGATCACAGCTCATCACAGGAGACAACCTTTGACGACTGGGGCCTGCTGACGCAGCTTCATAATTCACCACCTCTCTATCCAACTTTTCATTTTCATCTTCCACCTCAAAAATATCGCAGCTGCAAATAATAGACTCTGTACTCTCCTCTTCATGATCATTTTTTTCCATGCTGAAGTCTTTCTGGCCCATGTCATCGATTTCAATGTCGTTCGTTTCGTGACGGTCGATCTTTGGATTGTTCGAATCGATATCATCGTCACTTTTTTCTTGTTTTGTAGCAGTGTCACTGTGCTCCTTTTTTGTGTCATGTTTTGAGAAAAACTGACTGAGAGTACAATTTGGACGTTTCTCTTCTTTGAGTGATGCTGTTGTTGAAAGTTCACTGGACTTAAAATACTGGCTTAAAGTCTTGTCTGTAACTTTTTCCCTCTTAGGTGGGCGACCTCTCCCAATTTTCTTTTGAAGGGGATTTACAGATTTGCTTGCATGTGGCATGTCCTTCTTAGAATCTATCTTAACTCGACCTGAACTAAAAATGACATCTTGTAAATTCTTTGGTAACAGTTGCACCACCTCTAGGTCAATGTTGTCCAAGTCAGGAAAAATTTCACTAATAGTTTGCCAACAGTCATTGCTTTCTGCATCGTTACTTACATCGCTTGAATTGTTTTTCATATCGGATGAGTCTAGCGCAGTGGAATTGCAATCTGGCTGGAAAAAACTGGTTGAAGGCTTATCTTCTGCTTTCTTAATACCTAGAATGCTGCTAATGTTCTGAAACGTTGTTGGCGGTTTTTCATCCTCTGAGACAGAAATTAAATTTGCTTCATTACTTTCACAATTCTGTAGATAGTCGTTAGAAATATTACTGCCTTCGTTACTGATCTCATTGTGTTCATTGACCTTTTCTTTGCGACGCTTGAAATATTTAGCTAAGAATGACCTAGGCTTCTCCTCTGACTGTTCACTTTTAGATGCACATCCAAGCTTGCTTGAACTTTCTTCCATAAAGATATCTTGTTCTTCTTCTTTATTCTTATTTTCAAGTAAAGATTCTGTACTAGGAGGAACAGCGAGTGATTGTTTTTTGTTTCCTGGATTAATGTCATGTGATAATTCTTTATTAGTACTCTCATGAAGTGAAGTTCTGGGGTTTTCTTCTGAGAAATTTTTCGAGGTCGTTGGCATCGAAAAGAACTGTTTGATTCTATTGAATCCTGAGGGAGTATCGATGAATTTGCCAACAGAGAGGCCCAAATTTATAAGTGGCGGCTCCCTGAAATTCAGAAAAAAAATAAAAAAAGACTAAATCAAAATGTAACATGTATCCAAAAAAAAATATCTAAGCATTTGATGATTTTACTTTGCACTCCCATGTCACAATGAGAGGGATAAAGAAAATAGACAATCATAAGTCACTTGGATGGGCAGGGAAAATTCGGAGAAACTCCTCCTCTTTCAGTAAGTGAGCCATTGCAGTAAACCTTGGTGATCAGACTTAATGTGACTTACACAAGTATTATGCAATATTTCCACTTTAAATCAGATGATTTGCATAATTTTTTAGATTCAGGTCTTACATAAGCTAACGAATAAAGTTTTATCAAAATTTGCAAGAACCTACATCTTTGTGTCTCAGGACAGTCTCTTAGTGCAAATTTACAGAGAATTTAACAAAATTATAATGAAGCTTTGACTGGTTTTCAAATTTGTTAACTTTCTTCTTTATTTTTGCTCAATTTGAGGGAATTTTCTGATTCTTGATCATTTTCCCGAATTGTTTAGTTAAAAAATTTTAGAAGTTTTTTCTTCCATATTCCACAAAACAAGGGTAGAAAGAATAATATTTTTAACTCTAGTTAATAAAAATCAAAAGAGCAAAAAAGAGAGAGAACATTTCAAGAAAGTGACACTCTGATAGACAAGGGGGTAGTAAAAAGTAGTACGGGTGGTACTCACCAGGCACCTGAAATAACTGGCGCAGTATTTGACTTCTTGATGAGGGCCATGGCTGTTTCTGATATTTTATCCTCTTCATAGGAGTGTAATGGCCCAGATCGAGTGAATGAATTCCATTTCTTTTCTACAGTAAATGCTGCCATCACAGTTAACACTTTTCCGGTGCGATTATTCTGAGGACAAAAGTTTCCAAATTACATTGTAACATCAACGCTCTATACTAAATGCTAAGAGCGAGCAGAAAAAGTTGAGGTACTTGTAAAAACAGAAAAGAAATAGTCAATCGATGCTACTTATATGTTAGCTAACTGGTGTAGTTGTATTTTCTAATAATTACCTTGTGGCTATTAGACATTCTTTATTCTATATTGTTGAAGAAATTCCTTCAATTTGTACCCTCAATGGTAATCCACTACAACAAAAAACTTATTTTTACTCTACTCACCAGGATTTGATCATCCTTCAACCTTTCTGAAACTTCCGCAGATAGTTCATTCAGCCAATGGGTAACTTCCTCTACGGTTGCTAACGCTGAGTTACCAGGGAATCGTTTTGAGCAACCAATCGACTTGGGAATCAGTCTTGCTGCCACCTGTTCGTGGTCTATTCCTCGAGCAATATTATAGAGCCATGTCCTGAAAGTAAAGCGTATTAGGCTGTTCATTAGACACATTTTTTTGGTTGCTTTTTTTCACATTTTTTCTTTTCTTTGCGGATGCCTTCCAAAAAAGTACTTTATCATCTGTCAATCAAGCGTATTTCAGCCAAACAGAACTATGAGTGGGAAAGTTGAGATAAGGTCTAGAAAGCTGCATAAAAAAACAATGTAAAAGTGGGCGTGATTCCCTTTGGAGAAATGGAAAAGCAGAATTTTACATTCTATCAAACGGAACTATGTGCAAACTGTATGCTAACTGATGAGCCGTGGGAAGGTGACAAGAGCGTAGTGGACAGAGCTCATGAGTTAAAGACTATCGAGAGAGCCGCGGCGGCGGTTTCGTCGCCGCTGATGTCACTGTCGCTTTATAATTCCGATTCATTCTTACAGCCCTCAACAAACAAGCACACCCTTTCTTTCCCACCGGTCTTTGGTTCCGCTTGGCAGAAATACGTCCAATTATTACCAAAATACATCTGGTATTAGCATCTATCTTAATAATACTTGCATGCCTTTACATCTCATTGAATAAAGAAAGTTACTTTTGAATAGATATCCTCTTCCCTGACACAGTATTACTCACATTTAGACCGTAGCTACTATAAAAATGGTCAAACTTGTTGCCTTGCAGATTAAAATTTTAAATGGTGTTTTCTTGCAATATTTTTTTGACCAAATGCAACACAATACTATAGGACTCGTTTGGTCCTAAGTACATTCATAGGCTTTTCCATGCCAAAATGTTTCTGAGACAAAGTATATTTAGTGGTATTTATACTAATTTCAAATTTTTCTACATTGAGATCCCATTTTATGTGAACAGCCACAGACTCGCAGCTGAATGCAATGATACTGACATTAAAAAATTACAGGAATGATGCCCTGTGCTGGTGGTGTGGAACTTACGGATCATTCTGTAAAAGTTACCTGAAGCCCTTACTCACCCAGTTTTCTCATCAAACCGATTCTGCAGCTCTTTGAGGGCAAAGGGAGCAAGATCAGCCATTGTCTGACATCCAAGTTGTTCTACCACGGCCACACCGAGTTTCCCACCCAGATTACGAACTTTCTTCACAGGCAAATTGCTAAATAAAATAGGAACACCTGACATTGGAAGAACCGTCTGTCGATTTGGTTTGTGCAACCCCGCAGCCAATTTTGCTATAATCTGGAATACAAAAAAACATTTCGATGAAGAACACAGATTTCAGTATCTTCACAACCAACTACTTATTAAAAATTTTGAAATTTTAAGAAGTAGATTGTTTAATTTATATGATGGGAGAAATACGGGTTTTACCTATTACTCCAGTAAGGGAAATTTCTTTTTAATGATCTAAGCTGGACACTTTCATTTTTGTTTTCTTTCTTCGCAAATTCATTTAGAATTGGCAAGCTTAACTCAAGTTGGTACACTGCGAAAACAAAAGACAGAACACAGCATGGAGTGTTCATTAGTCAGACATTTCTTCAGACACCAATTTCTTTAACTCATTTCCTAAAAGTACAGGTTGAACTGAGCTTCTGGGAATTTTTACAGATTTATTTAAACCCCAAATTGCTGACAATTTTTTTTTTACTTATGTCTCTTCATAAGGCAAGATAATTTGAAAGGTTTAAACTGCTCATTGAATGCCTGTCATACGTCTTCACCTCAATGATTGTCTGAACCAATTGAAGCTCCTTAAAGAGAGCAAGCAATGTGACCAAACAATGACACCATTATTCCACTTCAGTCTTAGCCTCTTGTGTAAAAAAACTTGAAATTTTCAAATTCAGTCTGCAGATGTGCACAGCAGTAGGAGCAGCTTCTACTGCAACATCTTCCAGCAAACATCATCTTACTGAATTTGATCGAAACAATAATATTCTAAAGAACGAGAGTTGGGTACAAAGCACTCTAAAATCAGAGACAAAATTTTGTCATGGTGTCACAGCCATTGTGCTCACTCTGTGAAAACAGAAATTCTCATTTTGAAGGGGAAAAAACATGCTTAGAGCTTTTTCCTTCTTAAGTTATGCTTTTTGGAGCACTAATAGGTACAGTCGATCAGGAAGGCACCTGCGGGAGCACTTCAGGTCTAATTGGACCCATCATTAGTGCATTTTCTTTCCTGATTGGTCGTGCCTAATGTTCCTCAAAATAGCGAAAGTCAAGAAAGGAAATTCAGCTCTGAACGAGTTTTTTCCCATCAAAATGAGTATTTCTGTTACTGTACAATAAGCACCATGGCTGTAACATGGCAATATCTTGCCTCCAATAATATTTTTTTCCTTTTAAGGAAAAAGTAACTAATGTCTGATTTTGGATAAAAGCTTGACTTACCTTGTTATGGGCTATTCCTGCTGAGCATCTAAATCCTGTTTTAGCATACACAGCCGCTCGCATTTCTTCAACCACAACTGCACCTACAGCCAATTTTTTAGTGTTCACATCGTCTAATTCTGAGTCATACAAAGATTCCAACCATTCTGATACTCCTTTCTTGCCTTCCTCTGCAACAAATCAACAAAAGTTATTCTATTGTGCGTAAACATTTTGAAAGACTTGAATTTGAAAAAAATCATTTTTGTCATCAGTTCCGTAGGTAGGTATCTAAAATTATCAGTTAATATCAGAAACTTCTAGTGACGGTGAACAAGAATAAATTTACCATTGTCGTTGACTTCTGAAGGAGTGAATCCAACAACAAACGTGTTGGGTAACTGACCCACTGACACAGGCTGACTGAGCCGCTTTTCCACAACATCCGTCAAGTCAATGAATGCCTCATCAATACTGGCTCGTTCAACGCATTGACACATCTCGCTGAAGACTTTTATCACCTCTCGGCCAGCATCCCGATACCTACAAAAAAATTAAATTCATGACTTCCTGTTTTTTGTACCAGAAATTGATAATTATGAGATTATCCATCCTCTGTTCTGCCATGCTAAGGAAAAACAACATAAGTACATTTCAGAGTTGCCAAAATTTCTCCAATAAACTGTTAATTTTCAAAGAGAGTTATGAACGTTTTTTCTTGAAATTTTCAGATGATTTGGATCTCATTGAGAATAAAATTCTCTGAAAAATTGGGAGAAAAATATCCACAGCTTTCCCTGAAAAGTCCCATTTTAACTGAGGAAATTTGGCAATGTCTGAAGGCTCATACAGCGTTCTTACTTAGCATAACAGAACTCTACGGTCTCTCACTTGAGGTGGGAGCTCTTGAATTATTAAATGCTATGTCAGCAGTCATGTGAGCATTTATAATACATAAACTCTTGATACAGAACTCTTTACATAAACTCTTGAACGCCTGGTTATGAAAATGTTTGCATCCGCAGGACTTAAACATAAACAGTTAAAAAAACTGGAAGTGAATGCACAGAAACATCTACACTGGGGAGAAACACCTTTTAATCGACAGCAACGAAAAAACTGGCACCTATAACCTAACTTTACATACCGATGCTATCTGCAGGGCATACCATGTACTGATGCTCTTGAGTAAACTAATTGTTGGCCTCAATCAAATGGTTTAACTAGGTACTTCAATTTTTACACTCTCCTGAAAATGTTGACAGCTGCAGACTTTTTTATCGCAGCCGAACAAATATAAATATTATACTGATGAGGTGAATAAAATAGAATTAAGGCTTTGAAAATCTATGAGGTATCACCTGGTCAGATCTGCTTTGCCTCTAACTTCAGGAACGCTGCAGAGAGTGATGGAAGGGCACTGAGCTTTGGCCTCATCTCCTCTCATAAATCTGGTAACTCCTGCTGCCCTGGCTTCATAGTTCACAGCAATGATCCTGGATGGAAAACCAAATATCTGAGTAAGTAGGTATAAAAAAAACGAACGGCAGAAGTTGATTTCAACTGGCAGAGAACAATAGGTCATGATGTCAAATCGACGGTGTAAGTCTACGGTCACATATCTCGTTTGCGGTGTCTGAAAATCTCCGCTTCTATGTTGTTGTTTTAAAGGAGAACAAATTGACATCATTCCTTGAAGTTTTTGCAAAATTTTCTTCGCACAAAGAAGAAAAATCACGGCAGTTTTACAGAATTGCTGTTGAGAAGTTTCCTGTTCAAAAAATAGAGGGGAGTCTGCAACGTTGCAAACCGAGTGATGTGATTGCCGGCTTACACCGTCAAAATGTATTTCGACTGAGTGAGGATCTTATATTTTTTCAAATTTGAACTGAAGATTTGTTTCGTACCTTTTTTCTAATTATTGGAGAAACAGTAGTTTCCCACATCACTAGTGGAACTACCAAACCATGTACCTTGTGGTATATCAAAATCTACCCTTCCATTTCATTTCGATAAACCAATCAATATTATTCCTTGAAGTTTTCACAGAAGTTTTTAAGAGTTAGAGTTGAGAAAGTTTCTTTTTAAAAAATAAAGTATGGCGGGAAGTCAGCAACATCGCAAATCGAGATACATGGTTCGGAAATTTCACTGTCGATATCAAATCTTGTAATTTTGTTTATTCTGTAATGAGGTACTTATTTTTCTCCCTGTTCTAGCGCTCAGTGTGGCTATCATAAATTATCAAATGAGACGATTTACTGAGTGCTTGCAGAATAAATGACAAGATGGACTTCAGAGGTAAGTCTTACTCACCCTCCGCCTTTCCATGTTTTGTATTGCACGACAGCAACTGGAGTGCCAAGCAGTTCGGGCCGCATTCTGGTTTCCACTTGACAATAAAAACAGTCCATATCAATTAAAGCAACGACTCGAGACGTCATTTCAGAGGTGAGTGCTTGAAAATGCGCGAATTTAACAGTAAGATAATAAGTTTTGTGATATTTGAAATTTGAAGATGTGTGCTTTCTTCACATCCAAAAGAGTTGATAGTTTGAAACGGAAACCTCGTTACGACTGATATTTGGAAATACCTAAAATTGTAAAATAGGATGAGTTAGCACGGTTATTTATGACATTTGTGAATTTATCAAACAGAAAATCAACCGAGACGACACTAAATTCAATCAAAACATTAAAGCCAGATTAATCTGAGGTTATGTATTTATTTGTTTGCACCAACCATCATCGTCAACGCATCAACGAACGCTACCGTGTTGCCTGGTTTAGGCTAGTTTAGGCCACGTCCTCCATCTTGCAATTTGCAATTTTGGAAATTTGACTAAAAATGTAAGTTTCCCGTCAAAAAATACACTATATCTCTAAGTTTCACAAAAATACAATTCTTAGAAGCCGAGATAGGATTTTAGGGCAAATCTGCCGTTTCAGATTTTCAAATTGAGAAAATTTGACTTAAAACGCGAGATATCAAAAATCTAAGCTCAAATTCGGATTCCTCGTGAAAAATCGATGCAATTTCATGTATCACATGTTGGCATAACTCGAAGGAAAGAGGCTAACCGTAAGCATACTGTTCCACCACAGTAGTCCAATGTGGCAACATGGGTAATCTCGGAGTGGGTCAGAGGATGAGTAAGAAGAATTTATCTTCGCGGAATTTCGGAGGAACGAAACAGAATGCTAGGCGCCGGCGTTAGGGGAGAATGCGGGCGGGCTGGCGGCATACTTCAAACGGCTTTTGTACGCCTACGTTCAGCCTCTTTCCCTCGTGTTATGCTGACTTATTACACATGAAATTGCATCAATTTTTCACGAGGAATCCGAATCTGAGTTCAGATTTTGGATATCATGCGTTCTAAGTCAAATTTTTAGAATTTTAAAATTCAAATAAGCGGACATGGCCGAAACTGCTATCTCGGCCCCTGTTCGATCGATTTTCGCGAAAATCGATTGGATTGGGTAAGCTTTTTGATGGGAAGCTCGAATGTATAGTCAACTTTTCAATATTCCAAAATCAAAAATAACAT